AAGAGAAAGACAGAGAAGGGGGACACAGAGCGAGAGGAAGAAGGAAGGTACCCACAGCCTTCCCACCCCAACTTGGCTCGCACACACAAACACACACACTCTCCTGCCTCCCCCAACAGTGCTGGCCGCGGCAGACCCACGAGGGCTGCTGGGCCACATTGCCGAGGGGATAAGGAGAGTGCCCATGGCCCCCCCACCCTGGCTCTCTCTCACACACACACACTGGAGTACCCTGACAGTCCCCACCAGATCAACAAAAACAATTCCCGCCAGCCCACCTGAGCCTGACAAAAACAATCCCTGCCAGCCTGCTCCCGGCCACCCACCCCCAAAACAGTCCCCGCCAGCCCGGGTGCTCCCGGCCCCCCGCAAAAAAACAGTCCCCACCAGCCCTTACGCCAAACAGTCCTTGCTATCCACACCCAGCCCTACTTATCTTTCTAGCTCCAGGCGGCAGGAGATAGCACATGAGGGCTATTGCCACTGAGGGCTGCTGGGGGCGGGGCCTGTTTACTTTACTGCCAGAACACTGTTCCGGCCCAAAATTACCCCAGGTATTTGTCACGGAACTCTCCCCATGTTATTATGTAACAGTTGGTTAGCACATCAGCAAATACGCTATTGCTTTAAATTTGTGACGGGCAAATGCTGATGTTTAAACTGTCAGGTTGATTGTGACAGAGGTGACCATCTCTCTTGACAAAGGTTGATTGTGAAGGGACCAAATCTGGCCCCAGTGTTCCTGATTACTGTGAGACAGAAGGCTGTGTGCCTGCTGGCCTTGTGTTGGTTAGAACATAAGAACATAAGAGACGCCAATGTTGGATCAGGCCAAAGGCCCATCCAGCCCAACACTCTGTATCACACAGTGGCCAGAAATACCAGCGCCATCAGGAGGTCCACCAGTGGGGCCAGGACATTAGAAGCCCTCCCACTGTTGACCCTCCCCCAAGCACCAAAAAGACAGAGCATCACTTGCCCCAGAGCCCCTATCTATACCTTGTGGCTAATAGCCACTGATGGACCTCTGCTCCATATGCTTATCTAATTTCCTTTTGAAGCCGTCCATGCTTGTAGCCGCCACCACTTCCTGTGGCAGTGAATTCCATGTGTTAATCACTCTTTGGGTGAAGAAGTACTTCTTTTATCCGTTCTAACCCGACCGCTCAGCAATTTCATGGAGTGCCCACGAGTTTTTGTATTGTGAGAAAGGGAGAAAAGTACCTCTTTCTCTACCTGCTCTTTCCCATGCATAATCTTATAAACCTCAATCATGTCACCCCTCAGTCGTCGTTTCTCCAAGCTAAAGAGCCCTAAGCGCCTTAACCTTGCCTCATAGGGAAAGTGTTCCAACCCTTTTATCATTCGAGTTGCCCTTTTCTGCACTTTTTCCAAAGCTATAATATCCTTTTTAAGGTGTGGTGACCAGAACTGCACACAGTATTCCAAATGAGGTCGCACCATTGATTTATATAGGGGCATTATGATATTGGCTGATCTGTTTTCAATACCCTTTCCTAATAACCCCCAGCATAGCATTGGCCTTCTTTATTGCAGTCACACACTGTCTCGACATTTTCAGTGAGTTATCTACTACAGCTCCAAGATCTCTCTCTTGATCAGTCTCTGCCAGTTCAGACCCCATCAATGTGTATTTATATTTAGGATTTTTGGCTCCAATGTGCATCACCTTGCACTTGGCCACATTGAACCCCATTTGCCATGTTGACGCCCACTCGCCCATCCTTGACAGATCCCTTTGGAGTGCCTCACAATCTTCACTGGTTTTCACCACCCTGAACAACTTCGTATCATCCGCAAATTTAGCCACTTCACTGCTTACTCCCATCTCCAAATCATTAATGAAAAAAAGCAGTGGACCAAGTACTGATCCCTGCTGTACCCCACTGCTTACCACCCTCCACTGAGAAAATTGCCCATTTATCAGAGCTGGTGGTTAGTTAGGCCCTGTGTAAGCATTCCGCTGTTCCGTAAGGCTGCCAGGCACTCTGGAGCTTGTTGCCTTGTCCCTTCTTCTTGGGCTTACTCAAGGTTGTGTGTTGCAGCACCACATGAGTATTTGTTGTTTTGGGGCAGGCGACCAAAGTATTTCCAGTAGTGACTTCCTGCTGGAGCATCAGTCCTGCCCTTTGAGCTCAGAAGTGGCATACAAAATAGGCCTGACTTGGCATAATCATGCTGATGGGAAGAGAAAACCACCACTGTTCTAGAAGTTCGTTTGGGCAGCAAGTTCTTTGGTTGGGCTTAAGTCTGGTATACATCCTTCTGTTTTGACTTGCCTCAGACGGGGGGAAGGAAGATTGAAAGGAAGAGGGCTTTTACCTGCTAAACATTCCACTGTGCTCTTCCTGTGAAATTGTGTGCTGCCTGTCACACCATCAGTCAAACCCTTCCCCCCCCCCCTTCCTGCCTTTCTTGCCACAGAGGAGTTCCTTGGGTCGTCACCAGCCCCCCAGTTTCATGTCAACATTCAGTCTCTCCAAGAGATGAAGCCACCCTCCCCCATCTCTGCAGAATTTGTCACTCCGACCCTGGAGGCATCCGTGGAAAGCTGGGCTATGCTGAGCACCCCAGTGGAGGTCACCCCGTCGGAAAGCAGTGAGAGCATCTCCTTGGTGACTCAAATCGCAACCCCCCTGGCCGTACCTACTGCCCCTTTACAGACTGGAGCCCAGCTCTTTGGGGCAGGAGACCTCTCTCAGAGGCTGCAGGAAGCGAGTGCGGAAGAGCCGGCCTCATCACCAAAGCCAGAAGAGCCCATGCGGCCTCCTCCAGCCTCACAGGAAGTGAAGCCTTCTCCGGAGAAGCCCAAGGAGCAAGTGGAGAACAAGCTGGCAAACAGGATAGAGAGGGAGGATGGACCCACAGATCTGCGAGTCTTTGAACTCAACTCGGACAGCGGGAAATCCACACCCTCCAATAACGGGAAGAAAGGTGAGTTCCTGAAATAGTGCAACAAGCAACCCCAGTTTTGTAGGTCTGTTGCTGTAGTTGTGGGTGTTGCATATGATCACTTCATGTGCAAATGTGTCCTCATTTGCTGATCTCTGGGATAGACACATTCCACATTTATGTAGTGCAGGTGTGAATGTGTGGAAATCCATGCAGCCCTGACAGCAGGGATTGTTTTCTGTTGTGGATTTTGGTGACTCTTTGAGTTACATGATGGGAGGTGTTTCAAGGGAGACCCTTCCCAAGCAGCTCTCATTTTCAGGGTCAGTGCAGCTACCCCAACCCCTGTGCTGAGGGTTGACCTCCTCCGGAGTGCCCTTGGCCCCCCCCCCCACCCCTGCCATAGCATCACCACTGCTTGCCTTTCTGTCCTTTGGAGGCATGGCTGGGGCCAGGGAGTTCAGGGCAGCAGCCAAAGTAATCAGCGGTCAGGTAATGTCTGTCTCCCCCCCCCCACACACACACAGCCTTGCTACTGATGCCCCGCACTCAGCCGTCAGGAGCAGGTTGGGCAGCAAAAACTGTCCTGAAAAGGGCCCCAGGCCTGTCCCTTCTGATGGAGGTGGAAAGGAGGAGCAGGCGCCTGTGGGGCTGGAGCTGCTGTGGCTGCTCGTGACCTCCCGTCCTTTCAGGGTTGTGGCAGCAGCTGCTCTTGCATGCTCAGTGCAGAGGCAGCTGCCCGCACCTGGCTGCAGCTACTTGTGCTTCCCGGTGCGGCTGCGTGCTTGCACTCCAGCACTCAGGCAGCTGCACGATTACAGCTGTGGTAGTGATGACCACCTCTCCCTGGGTGAGGGCCACTCCTTGCTGGGGGGCGGGGTGCACCTGGCAGGGGGTGGGGATGGTCCCGGGCAGTGTTCCCTCTAAGCTGAGTTAGTGTGAGCTAGCTCACCGTTTTTTAGCCTCCGGCTCACACATTTTTGTCTTAGCTCAGGAAGGATGGCTCCAAAGCAACTAATTTATGCAGTAGCCAAATTGCTCACTCACAACTTTCATGCCAGTAGCTCACAAAGTAGCATTTTTGCTCACAAGACTCCACAGCTTAGAGGGAACATTGGTCCCGGGGCTTCTGTTCAGGGCTTCAGAATCGCTTAGACACCCCCTGCTCCCATTTGTTTCAGGCTCCAGCACAGATGTCAGCGAGGACTGGGAAAAGGACTTTGACTTGGACATGACCGAGGAAGAGGTGCAGCTGGCACTCTCCAAGGTGGATATCTCTGAGGAGGTCAGTGTTTGCAGCAGCCTGTGGCCTTTCCTGGCTAGTGAAGGCCCTCCAAAAGCTCCTGGTGGAGGAGGTGACTTTCTTTATTCCACCTGGGAGAAGCCCCTGAATGCTTTTGGGATGCGGATATGCGTTTCTTCGCTGGCAAAAACTCTGAGTGCTATTTGAAATTTGCATGTTTTTTGTTGCCTGTGCTGAATGTGCTCTTCCTAGAATAGGGGATTCAATACAATTGGCTCCCTTTCTAGGCATCTCCTTTTTTTGTTCCTGACTGCCTAAGCCATATTTACAAGTCCAGGGAAAAAACCATGTTGGCATTCATCCAGTAAGCATTCCAACCCCTTCTTCAATGGGCTGCATTGGCAGACATCGCTGGCAGTCCCTCTTCTGGTGGGAAAAGAGCCTTGGAGGCTGTAAATCACTTCAGACAAAAGAGAGTCATTCCCCTTGAAAGACTTTTACAAATAAAAAGATGGGATGTGGTGTGTGTGTTGAAATGTAGGTGTCTTGAAGTTGGTTCCCCTTCTCCATCCACTGGTGGTCAAATGAGTGTCATGCATCCCTCAGCTCAGTTTAATAAGCTTCCACTGATTTATCGGGGAGGCTGAACTTGAAGTGGTGAAGCTGAAGATTAAGAGTGCTTCTGTTCTGAAGCTGTTTTGGTTCTCTTGTGTTACTGTCGTGAGGAACAGAAATGAAATTTAAATCTGCCGTTTTCTTCTTACCTTCAGTGGTAGTTTTCCTGTGCTGTATTTTAAGTTTTGTTGCACTTCCTTCAGTATCTCCATGTGGTGATGTGTTGGTGATGTGCAATGAGATTTTACAGTTCACAGGCAGATGATTAGCTAATTTTAAAACTCTTTTAATTAGAAGGCTGTTGTCTTCCGTCTATATTTGAGTCTAGGAGCACCTTAAAGACCAAAACAGTTCTCCAGAGTATAAGCTTTCAGGGTCAGATCTGGCAAAATGAAGTCTGAATCACAAAAGTTATATAAGAAAACTTTGTTGGTCTTTAAAGTACCATTGGACTTGAGTTTTTGTTTTGCCCAATATACTAACACCACTATCCACCTGACAGTGCCCTTCTGTAATGTGGTTTTTGTTTTGAATATTTTCAAGAGAGTCACTTGTATTCAGGTTGATGTAATTAAACATGTATCAGTGGCATTTGATCATTTGACTTTTAACTGACATATTACCATTTTTTTGGCTGTTTATAATCTACTTCAGCATTTTATGAAGCAGCTGTCAATGCTGAGGCAGTTTTGTCCTTCTTGGGCATCCTATCTAACACCATACTCCTGTGCTTTCTCTCTCCCATCTATAGCTGGATGATGAAGAATGGGAAAACTGGGAGTAGTAGCCGTTGCTCCCTGTGCCGTGCATCCTGGGCTCGTCCCCTGCCCCACCCCCTCCTCTGCACCATCCAATGTGAATTAAATCACAAAGCAACTGGTCTCTCTTCCTGTGTAAATGTGTTCCAGGCTGGATGCATCTCATCTCTGCTAAAAAAACCCTGTTGGGGGATCTTGGACCACAGCACACTTGGATTCTGATGGTGGCTGGTATCGCATGAGGGGGTGCTGAAGAACATTGTTCTGGGGTGTGTGCATGTATAGAAAGTGGCACTAGGCACATCTTTCCAGTGGATCCTCTGGACTCAGTCTACTCTTGGAACTGCCCCAGTGTGGATTTTTAGTTTTTCTTTTTTCGGCTTGAGGTGGATGTCAAGTGATGGTGGGTTTGGGGGGGGGAATAGCTGGACGATAGGGTGGGGGAGAGTGTCCCTGAGTTTTATTGCACCTATAGGAGAAAGGATTGTTCTTGATCACTCACTCTATAGGCTGGCATTTTGCTGGCTGCATTCCCCTTTGTGTGACTTTACTGAAATGCAGCAATGGGTTTTCTTGGGGAGGACTTGTGGGTAAATCCCTTTTTCCCATTGTGACCCACAAACCAGTCATAAGGGAGGAGAACCTGTAGCATGGCCACAGGCAGACTTTTCACCCCCCATGTGCTTCCCCACATAGCAGCTCAGTTTTCCCCCCAGGAACTGGAACACCTCCCTACCTCAGTTTCCCTCCCATGTTTCTGGCCCGTTCTTTCTTCTCCCTTGCAGGACTTGAAGCACTTTTTAAACCTTGGGGAAAAAATTGCACAGAATCAGGAACCATCTCCTACGGAAGCCGCCGTGCAGTGACTGGGAGTTTGACAGGAGGCCTCCCCCTTGGGTGGTGCCTTCCATCTTTGGAGAGCCCTCTTGCTTACGTCATTAGCTCAGTTCCTCTTGGCTGGTTGCCCTGCTAGACTTGCATCAGTGGCATGGTCTGCTCTGAAGGGCTTGTGTTTGCCAAAACCTCTTGCTTTTCTTCTTTCCGTTGTGCTGATGCCATTTGGTAGCATCCATGGATCCGTCCACCGGCGTCCATCTGAGGCCCCTCTGGAAGCCCTTCTTCGCCATGCTGAGCATCGCCTGTCCTCCACCCCTTCAGGGAACCTAT